TCTAATTGCTTAAATACTTATTTAATTAGTAGGCTATTTAGGCTACTTCTAATTTCCAATCCTCTTTTTTAATAATATGAAGTCACATAAATGTAATGATGCATTATAATGTCTCTGCAGTATTTAACTAAATATCATATGATTTTTAAAACATTTTAAAGAAACATGGTACATTTATTAGGTTTTACGTGATAAAACAATATTTATAGCCTAGTGTTTAGAAGAAAAAATGGACACTTTCTGGTTGTTTCCCGTGAGAACTGACTTATTAAACTTACTGGAGGTGAATCTCATGTATAAATTTTTTTAAGTTGCTTAAATTATTTTAAAGAGTTCAAATAAATGTAAAAAAAATTCATTTTACTTATTGATCATATAATTGTTACAGTGCATCTATAATACAATGACATTAGGATATTTTTAATTGTGACTTAAGTGTCCAAATTTCTGGGCACCACTTATAAAATTTACTGCAATATTGTTTCTTGAATGGTATAACAGAGAGAATAGGAAAAAATGAAGATGAAGAATTTAACAGTCAATGTCATAGTTTGAACCTAGAACTTTAAAAGCAAATTTGTTGCTCGTAATCCTTTTGATAATGTCAATATTAGGTGTAGTTTTGGTGCTACGTTTTCATAAGGATTCTCATTACATTTTGGATTACTAAAATGATCAAACTATGTCTCTCTAGTTATCTGCTTTCAGTTATCCATCTGTCTTTCTATCAAAATGCCTTGGCTCTATGTCTCTAAGCAGGTTTATAATTTTACGTTGCTATTGGCACATAGCTTGTGTTTTTGATGGGGGTTTTTTTGTTTGTTTTTTTGGATCAGGAAGATTAATTTAATTGAAAAAGGCTTGTTGTGGTATTGTCAAGCTGAAGGGTGACTTGACCAACTCATTCAGTAGTTACAGGTCAGCTCTGCAGGTGGGTGTCCTTCCATTTGCAGCCCCTCTTAAACTTCCATAAAAAATAATCATGGGGGGAAAAAGTGGAAAATGACTAGCGTCCAACCTCTCATGAAGTTTGTGCTTGTAACTGCTCGTAGAGTTTTGGCAGGCAGTGTGAATCATTGTTGGGGAATAACTTTTTAGTCACGTATGTGAGTGTGTGACAGCTTTTGGATAATTAAGATTTTTGTCTTAAAGGGATAGTTCCCCTAAAAACTCGCCCTCATGTAATTCCAAACCTGTATGGCTTTTTTTCTTCTGCATGTGTAACACAACCGATGTTTTGAAGTGTTTTTGTCCATGTAGTGAAAGCCAGTTGGATCCAAAACAACATTGGAACCCTTTAACTTTCATTGTATGGACACGAAAAACATCTTGTACCATAGAACATACACTCTTGAAAATAAAGATTTCAAATGAAGGTTTTCACAGCAATGGCATAGAATAACGATTTTGGCGAACCTTTCATTTGACAGTTCCTAAAAGAACTTATTCTTTTCTTTTTTTTTAATCTTTAGAACCTTTTCCACTATAAAGAACCAGGCCAGGCGCTGGTTTTAACAGAGATATTATTTAACATAGAAGTTAAAGATTCTTCATAGAACTATCAGTGCCAATAAATAACCTTTATTTTCTAAAGAGTGCGCAGGAGATCCAGTAACCATTTTTAAGCAATTCTTCTGTCATAATTCCTCCTTTGTAGGAGGATGTTTCCCGTTCTGAAGGTCTGCGTGACGGGTCTGGATCCCAACGCCATGTATTCGTTCCTGTTGGACTTCAGCCCTGCAGACGGGCACCGCTGGAAGTACGTAAACGGCGAGTGGGTCCCTGCGGGCAAACCTGAGCCTCACAGTCACAGTGGTGTCTACATCCACCCCGACTCCCCCAACTTCGGTGCCCACTGGATGAAAGCTCCAGTGTCCTTCAACAAAGTCAAACTGACCAACAAACTCAACGGAGGAGGCCAGGTGCAGAAACACTTACACGTATATACACACATTTGCAAAGCATGAAATAGCTTTACGGCTGAAATAAGTTCCACTTCTCTGTCTTTCGCCATTCTCCTTTATTATCTCTCTGTTTGTGTCTGTAGATGTTCCCTGCATTAAAATCTCAGAAAACAAAGACTGCACATTATACACATGTAGTGCTCGTGTTGTGCAGGTGTATAATGCCGTACGTGGCCTGCTCTGTAATCTTGAGTTGCCTCTCAGGTCTCTTGTGTGTCCAAACAGGCCTCTCTGTAGCTTTTAGGAGTCTTGGCCTGCCTTTAATCACCCTGTGCGCTGCCACGGGAAATTTCAAGTGTGCATTTATACAATTAGTGCTCTCCTCGGCATCCACTTCACCTATGGAGCCCCTTTGTTCAGCAGGGACTGCATGTAAACAGGAATAAACAGCTCTTAATTGGCACTTTTCTCGTTTAATGCACTTCCTGCCGTTCAGACAGAGAGTGGTCTACTTCAGCTAGCCATCCTGGCTTTCAGCGAGGCCGCTGCGAGGTGCTCCAGCCCGCTCCATTCGAGTATGACTCCGCCACCAAATTATTATTGGTATTTACATGACCCCTCCCCTGCGCCCTCCCCGCCACCCCATCCTCTTCTCCTGTATTCCTGCCTGGTCCCTATTTACCGGGGTTTTTAAACGCAGAGCTGGCAGCGGAGAGGACGATGAGAGAGAACCAGCTCTAAATGAAATAATTGCTGTGGTTAGTTGTACATTATGGTAATTTCCTCTGTTTTTTTCTATGCAAAATTAATTTAGCCATCAGTCCTTAGATGTTCAAAAAGGCAACATATTAAAAAAAAAAAGGCAAATGGGAGAGAAAGGCACACAAAGCCCTTTATGTCCCCTGTAGCCATGCAGATGAGTACCTGCCCCTCATCAGTCATTGTAATCTGCCAATTAGAGAGAGAAAAAAAATCTGCTTTTCTCTCTCGTTCCGCCTGTCTCTTTCTCAGAATTCGACTCGATAGATTTATTCATGCTTGACGTGGTCACTGCAGTCATTCCAAGAATTTTTTATATAGACAATGCAGTGTGTGTAAATGATAAAAACCTACCAATATGTAGTGATACTGTCAGAATTTAAGAACTGGCTCCTTTTTAACTGATGAGTTGGAATTTGAATTACATTGGCCACGTCCCACAGTGCTATGACATGAATAATTACATCTTGATATAGGAAATAGCCTGTATTATTTCTCATCTGATTAGACATATCAAAACAATTAAACAGACATCAAACTCGTTTTAATTTTGCCATACAGCACTTACAAAATAGCCACTGTTTGTATTGTATAATTTCAGGTAATTTTATACAAATAAGAAAATAAATGGAATGAAATTCCAATATATAGCTGCTGTAAGCGGCTATATTATTAAATATTTTCTGCATCATTACTCCAGTCTTCAGTGTCACATGATCCTTCAGAAATCATTTTAATATGCTGATTTGCTGCTCAATTATAATTCGTGCTAAATTATTAATAATGTTCTTATTAACATCAATGTTGAAATGTTGTTTATGCTGCTTAATATTTTGGTGGAATCGTGCTTTTTTTCAGGAGTCTTTGATGAATAGAAAGTTCAAAAGAACATCATTTATTTGAAATATAAATCTTTTGTAACATTATACATGTCTTTACTGTCACTTCTAATCGTGCACCCTTGCTGAATAAAATAAATGTATTTTTTATTTATTTTGATCTTATCCCAAACTTTTGAATGGCTTTGTATGTTTTCCACAAAACTGTTTTCAACATTGATAACAATAAGAAATGATAATAAGAAATCAGCATATTAGAATGATTTCTGAAGGATCATGTGACACTGAAGATTGGAGTAATGATGTTGAAAATTCAGCCATCACAGGAATACATTTTTTAATATATAAATATAGCCCCAACATTAAAATTGCAATTAATATTTCACAAATTTATCATTTTTTGCTGGGTTTCACTTTATTTCGATGGTCCACTTTTGTAACTTGTCAACTAACTCTTAGTTGAGTATTAGTATAGACTGTAGTCGACTAGTAGACTGTTAGGTAAGGGTTAGGTGTTCAGGTTAGTAGAATAAGTTGACATAATTGCAAAGTTACTTAAAGCTGCTGTAGGTAACTTTTGAAAACATGTATTTGCTAAAACTGTCATTATGTCCTGACAGTAGAATATGAGACAGATAATCTGTGTAAAAATCAAGCTCCTCTGGCTCCTCCCAGTGGTCCTATTGCCATTTGCAAGAAATACACGCTCCCGGTCAGAAACAACCAATCAGAGCCAGGAGGAATGTCTTAGCAGTGTCAGTCTCGCTCGTGTACGCGCTGATCACACCCCTCTCTTGCACAGCGCGTTGCGCGAGCCGTCGTTCAAACTCAAGATTGCTGGCGTGCTGCAGCTGTGCTTATGACGGAGAAACAACCTAAACTGCCAATTCTCGAGTGACACCTGCTCATAAAACAAAGAGGTAAAAGGAAAAAGACTGATGACGATAAACAAGCGAAAAAGAAAGAATTACACAGAGCCCATTGACTCGGTGTCGAAACTCTAGCCGCATAACATGTAGATAAAATGTCACGCACTCTGCTAAGCAACAATTGAAACCTGCTAATTCACTGGCTTGTCATGTTGCTGAAATAATGTACTAGCACACCTTATCTAGCATTATATATCGCTAGAATAATTACTTACATACTGTAACGTTAGTTACCGTTATATTAACGTTATCTTACTAGCTATTTGTAACTTAGAAACAGTGCAACGTTATAAAGTTACATGTAGGCTATTGGAAAATACATAATGATTTGAGGACCAAGTTTGTAGTCAAAGTATGGGCAGGCCATAGTCAATATAAAGCATATTATTGACGTTTAGTCCCTATTAGTGAATGTGCCATATAACTTTTTATCCGCTGTTATCGGTGGCCCTGTTTACTAGCCTGCGCGTTCACGACAGGCTCCGCTGTGGAGGACGAGCTGTGGAGGGAGGGCTGTAGCGCAGCAGAGAGCAAGGGGGTGGGACCTGTAAGTTGTGCTTGTTCAAATTTTCAGGCTAAGTCAACGTTTTCTCAAAACTCCCTACTGGAGCTTTAAAGTCAGTAGAATGTCTGTTGGGGAGCATCAAAATCAAGTGTTAGCAGATATTAAACAGTCAGTCTACTAATACTCTAATAACTGCTACTTGACATGTAGTTGCAAAGTTACTTAATAGTTAGTAGAATGTCTAAAGCAGACCATCAAAAATAAAGTTTCCTTTTGCTGCATGTATGTATTGTTACGCAGAAATTGTATGGATTTCTTTGGACTTCAGTCTGTTTTAATTCTTCTTTACATTCAAAATCTACAGGTATTTGCAATTCTATATCCTTTGTTTGATACCTCATTTTGAATTTTGTTAAAATTCAGTCTAAAAATATATACCGATGCAGTATGGACCTACATTTTTAGCTGTACGCCACCTTACACATATGTTGTAAACTAATGTCCTGTAAAGAGCCGATTTCTTTCTTACTTTTCTTTTGTCTTCTTCTGTTCAGATCATGCTGAATTCTCTCCATAAGTACGAACCCCAAATTCACATTGTTCGTGTAGGAGGAAGCCACAGGATGGTGACCAACATCTCTTTCACAGACACTCAGTTCATCGCTGTAACAGCCTACCAGAATGAGGAGGTTAGAGCATCTACACTAAACATTTAGGATAAACATGCTTAAAGAGAGTTCACACAAAAATGATTTATTCACTCTCATGTTGTTCCAAAAGTCAGACAAAGGTATTTGTTCTGTATTGAAAAGTACAGTTAGGCAGGATGTTTATGCTGCTCTTTATCAAAAAGTGAAAGTAAATTATGACAAGCTCTCCAAAGGAACAAAGCAATGGGAGTTATTCTCTATATCAGTCCGCACTGTTTCTGAAACTCCCTGAAAGTTTTCTTCTGGGAAAATACACGTCACAAAGTTCCTCATTTAATTTATTCCCGCCAAAGGCATACACAAAAAAGGGGACAAGGCCTGGTTGAGTTACTTCAATAGTGTGTTGAAACTCGCAGTTATGGTAAGGGGCGTGACATTTCCCAAAATGTTCCTGAGCGGTTGACCAATCACAACACACTGGTACAGCTGACCAATCAGAGCACATTGAAAGAAAGGTTCTGCAATGTAAAAGATCGGGTAAAATAATGTTTTTGAGCATTCCAGCACAAAAAAACCCTATCCTAGTTGACCCCAAAAATAAGTCCCCTTTAAAGGCGCATTTACACGACAACGATGTACTAAAAGCGGAAAAGGTTTTCCTTTACATTTTCCGTGTACAGATGACAACATTGTCAAAACGATCCCCATTTACATGGATCTGCAAAAACGATTAAAAACGCTGTATTGTGCTGCCAGGCCAGTAGTTGGTGATGTCACTTTGTAAAGAAGAACTACACGGCTATAGACTGAACACGTAATACCAAGGGGGTAATCCATCGACCGGAAGTTTAAGCCGGCCGGGTGCCGCCATCTTGTAGCAGAACTTCACTTGCGTTAGCATTTCCATTGACTCCCATTCATTTTGGCGTTTAAAGACTCCATTTGTCCATTATTTAGTTCTAAAGAAACACGACAATGTATAAAGGGCTCCATTACCTTCTATGTTACATTATGGCCCCGTAGAAACAGATTTTGTAAAAATAGGCTAACGATTGCGTCATAACCACTCGACTCTGTCGCGCTGTACAGAAATTACCGTACAGACAGGAGGAGAAGCTCGCAGGCAATCGGGGGGACGTCCCGTCAAGGGAGAAGCCCATAGATAATGAGTCCATAAAAGCAACGGAATACTTACTCCTGCTCACTCACGCCAAAGAACTCTTTGCTCAAGTTCCCCGTCTCTGCAAGATTAACGTTGGCAATTTTCACGCACAGCTACTAGAAGATTTACGTCTGTCAGACAGGTTGCTCACGTCATCAAGCTTAGTTTGAGTCGGTTTGAGTCTGCGCGTCAGGAACGGAAGTGCTCAAAAATCGCTAAAAATGGGCTTCAACTGAGGTCCATTGAGATGGCTCTGTCCACTTCTTATACTGTCTATGCATAATATGCATGACGTCACCGTTTTCACAAATTTGCATTTTTGTAGTTTACATGAAGACAATAACAGTATCCTTTTTCAGAAACTTGCTCTTTGAAACCCGTTTTAAAAGTTTGCATTTTCAGGCCCCCAAAACGCTGTTGTCGTGTAAATGAACGGCCAAAACGCAGAAAAGTGTTTCATTTTTAGTTGAAAACAGTGTTGTGTAAACGTATAAAATTGTTTTTCAGTGTAAAAAATCTTGCTGGGTGAACTGTACCTTTAAAAAGAAGCTACTTGTTTGTGTTTTGATGAATGCAAAATATAATAGTTTGTAAAATTGTTGAAAATATAATATCAGGAGATGAAAATACGTGAACTCTGGTGTACAAATATTTTATCCTCACAATCTTTCTGGTTTCCTTCCCTTCGCAGATAACTGCACTGAAGATAAAACACAATCCCTTTGCCAAAGCTTTCCTCGATGCAAAGGAAAGGTACAACGTATTTAAATTACATCGAACAAACATTGTCAGTATCAGAAGATAAGTTTTCTCACCAATTTAACAATGCGTATTTCAACTCATAATAATATCATAGCAGGCATTAGCGCTAGTCAAGCTAGCATGACTGTGCGAAATCAGCCGTGATTAGCGACCAATTATTAAACGTTTATGCTTTGAATCGAGTGAGTGTGTGAGTAAAGGAGCTTGTTGGAGAGGCAGTGTGAAGTGAGAGTGAGAGATTTTAAGCGGCTACAGTGAAGAATGTGTGAGATATTACACAACAATGTTGGTGGAATGAGCGCTGAATAATTGTACTCCAGTAAATGTAGTCATAACTTCACTGGAGCAGAGGTACAACACTCCTCTACGTAAATGAGACTCACTCTGTACTGTGTAAATTTGAACAATTACAGGGTGAATCTCATTAAAAGGTTAAAAAAAAGTTATTTTGGTTAAAGATCGATTTGATTAAAAAGTCGAAAGAAAGAAATTTGCATAAAGAAAATGTACACGTATATAATATGAAAATATATTGAATGCATATTTTAGGACCATTTTAATATTTTGCATTGCATTACATGTGTTTATAAAATTCCAGCCCCAAATTATTATTAGTATAATGTGTAATTCTTATTCTCATTGGTGATTTTCATTGCTATAATACAATAGGTGTGTCCCAATTCGCATACTTATGCACTATTCTATGTCATTTGTAGTATAAAGTGATGCACTTAATTAACTGTAAAAACAAACTCTTCATCCGAAATCACGTACTGTCCGAGTAGGTATTATATATTTGAATTTGAATTGACCATGACCGTTAAAAAAGTACGCTCTAAATAGTATGAATATGGGTAGTATGAATGAAAGCCGAACGTACTACATCCTCCATGTTGTTACTGTCATGTGACCGACCAGCGTCCATTCATAAATCTCCTCTCATGCCCTCACACGGGATAGTAAAGTGTCCATCGAATGCGCACTTCAGAATCTTGGCGGAAGTAGCAGGTCATCCGGGGACTTTTCGCCTACTGTTTTTCGAATACTACTCTTTTGGCGTACAGTTTTTCGCATACTATTTAGTAAGGAAGTATTCGATTTCGGACGCAGCTAAAGTATGGCATGTTGGACACTTCATGCACTCAACTGTTGTAGCTTTAATTACGTAGTGGAGGGGGCAGGGCTGTCAGATTCCAACGGTGAATGACAAAATAACCCTATAAAATTCATACACTACACGTTTGGTTTGAGTACATAGTGCACAAGTATAGTGTATAAGTGCATAGTGTGTAGTGCATCATTTGGGACACAACTAATGATGTTAGGCTATTATAAAAGGCGATACAACAAATACTACTTTGAAATATAAAACTTTACCATTTAAATAATATATTGTATTTATTTATATATATTGCATTACAGTAGTGTTCATGATAAAAAAGAAATCCTCCACAGACAGACCATAAACTAGTCAAATATAAATACTGAATTTAATTACAAGATTTTAAGAAAGTTTATGTGATGAAGTGATGAGAATGTGTTGCAGGAACAAATGAAAAGAGAGAGCTAAAGTATGTGAGAGGTTATGTTTACAGGTAAACTTTACAAGTGTCTTTTTTTTCTTCTTTTTTTTTTGCCTGAAAAGAATATAAATAGTGAAAAAGAAAAACTCATGATGATGTAAATGAGGTGATTTTGCATACACCATACAGTTCCAAAGTTTTTTATACTTTAAAACTTTGAACAAACATGAATTAAATTGATCTATAGTGACAGTAACAATATTTATAATGTTTCATCAAAAATTACACAAAAACATTAAGCAGCACAACCTTTTCCAACTAATAATAATATTAAGAAATCTCTCTTGAACATAGTAGGTTTATTTCTGTTGGATCATGTGACACTGAAGACTGGAGTAATGATGCTGAAAATTCAGCTTTGCTGATTTATGGATATGAACTGTTTTGATAGGTTAGTTCTTCATTTGAGGTTTGTCTCATTCACAAAACTTTTTCTCTCCATAGGAGCCATCCTAAGAATCATCTAGAACCTCCAGCTGAAAACCAGCATGTGGGCATACCACACTGTTAGTGATTCATTTTCCACTTTCTTAAAGTTGGCTAAACTAATATTTTTGTCTGATTTATGAACAATGAACATGTTTAAGAAATATTTGTAGCATTATGTTAACAGTGTTATGTGAAGCAGTATTGGTGTCCATTTGTTGGTTTGCAGGCGGATGGTTCATATCAAACCCAGACACTCTCTGTTCTAGTGGTGGCAACTTTCCGTACCCAGGAGGTTTACCGCTTACTCCCCACCATGGGTACAAACACTACCCAAGTCTGCACGGGCACCGAGCAGCCCCGTACCCATCGCCCTACCTGCCCCGCCATCATCACCACCCCCACCACCGGGGCCATAACTCAGGTGACACGTCATAATTTGAATAATGTCTCAGCAATAGCTACAGACCACTGTGCTTTTTGCATTAAGAGAACAAATTAATCTAAAACTGAAAATCCCGTAAATGATTTACACGCCATCATGTCATTCCAAAACCTGTATGACTTTCCTTTTTATATTTCCAGGTTTTCTATTTATTCTATTTTATGTACGTATATTAGGGGAAGATGACCCCCTTAAGAACAATGTGCATTTACTTATAAATTGTGGCAAATTTAGATAAGTTTAGCATGATGCATCAGGGAATGTGTTATTATAGGAAAGAAATAGCACAAAATAAATATATATAGCAAAAAATGTCAAAATTGTGCAAAAGATGTAAGTTGTAGTGTAAGATATATTACCCCAAGGGTCTAATTTTTATTTATTTTTTTACTTCAAAATAAAAACTATATTTTTTATTCAAGTCTAAAAACAGTGATGTGTCCGCAAATCCCTCATTAACAAGCAGACACAGAAAACGTTGATATTTAACATAAAATAATGTCATTGATCACTATTTTCCAGAGGCACAGAAACTGTTTTGACCAACTAAATCTCACAAATGTTGATATTCAGGCAAAATAGCTCAATTAATAATAACACACCAGGTGTTGAAATGAGATTTTGTGCTCTCAATGGTGAAGAGAAAAAGGGTCTAACCCTATATTATATTTCATTTGATTATATTTATTAGATTAACTATATTACATTGTATAATGTTATATTAGAGTATTCTTGTATATAGATAGATATAAAACTACTATTATATTTGTATCCACAGACAAAAAAACAACAACCTATGACATGTCAGTTTTTCTTTGCTAACTCCCTAATTATTTTTGTTTTTCTTTGAAGTGTCTCTATCTGAGAATCTGAGTCCAGGTGCTGTGCAGATGTTCTCTGGTCACGAGAGCTGGACAGGTGTGTCTCCTCCTGGCCCTGCTGCGATGCTGTCTGTGCCTCCTGCTCCAAGCTCACCCGGAGCCAGCAGGTCAGAAAGAGAACTGACTTTATACAGATGAGCCTTAAGTATGACAATATGTCAAACAATAAGGTAAAGCAGTTTCACATACACACCTGAAGTAAAGTAATGTTTGCTCATCATCTGTGATTTTCAGTCAGTATCCATGCCTGTGGACTGTGAGCAGTTGCACTGTATCCTCCAGTCCTCCAGGGGGCATTGTGAGCGCCACACACAGCCAGGAGGAGCCTGCAGGTGGTGGCTCCACTTCTACATCACCCTGCTCCTTACTGCAGGGACACGGACCAACCAGCTCCGAGAGTGGTGTAGATCAAGCCAATCACAGTAGGGTAGGCGGGATGAGCTGGTCTTCTGTCACCACCCACTCATTTTGAGTGCTCTCATTAAATAGCAAAGAACCAGGTGTACGTACATGATATTTGATGAATAGAGTGTACAGCTGGTTTTGAAGTGTTAATAGAGTGCAAAAGTGCACCACTTTTTTAGCGGTGTTGGTTCCGGAAGTAATTTTCCCATTCACTAAGGGGCCTAAAGTGTGCCAGGAAAACATCCCCCACACCATTACACCACCACCACCAGCCTGCACAGTGGTAACAAGGCATGATGGTTCCATGTTCTCATTCTGTTTACGCCAAATTCTGACTCTAACATCTGAATGTCTCAACAGAAATCGAGACTCATCAGACCAGGCAACATTTTTCCAGTCTTCAACTGTTCAATTTTGGTGAGCTCTTGCAAATTGTAGCCTCTTTTTCCTATTTGTAGTGGAGATGAGTGGTACCCGGTGGAGTCTTCTGCTGTTGTAGCCCATCCGCCTCAAGGTTGTGCGTGTTGTGGCTTCACAAATGCTTTGCTGCATACCTCGGTTGTAACGAGTGGTTATTTCAGTCACTGTTGCCCTTCTATCAGCTCGAACCAGTCTGGCCATTCTCCTCTGACCTCTGGCATCAACAAGGCATTTCCGCCCACAGAACTGCCGCTCACTGGATGTTTTTTCTTTTTCGGACCATTCTCTGTAAACCCTAGAGATGGTTGTGCGTGAAAATCCCAGTAGATTAGCAGTTTCTGAAATACTCAGACCAGCCCTTCTGGCACCAACAATCATGCCACGTTCAAAGTCACTCAAAATCAACTTTCTTCCCCATACTGATGCTCGGTTTGAACTGCAGGAGATTGTCTTGACCATGTCTACATGCCTAAATGCACTGAGTTGCCGCCATGTGATTGGCTGCTTAGAAATTAAGTGTTAACGAGCAGTTGGACAGGTGTACCTAATAAAGTGGCCGGTGAGTGTAGATGTTTTTATCTTTTTTACATTTTTGTTATTAAAAATAAGAAGCAAATTATTAACAATAGAATAGTTTTTCAGGTACTATAAGTTTATTTAATATGTAGTTAGACATAGTACAGAAATTAAATAACCGAATGTAAAAATATAACACTCCATAGTCTTGTAATGTATTATTAACATTAACACAGTCACTGTATGTATTAATTTATTCTTATTAAAGCTACAAAAGTTATCCAGTCAACAGCAGTAAGTTATTTTCTATTTGTCTTTTGTTGTTTGATTAACGTTAATGATACAGAGGCTGCTGTCACTTTACGACTGAACGCACGGATCCATTATACTGATACACATCAGGTTTTCACCCAACTGTTTAACTTTACTTGAGACATACCGACTGCGTTTACATACTCCACACATTGGCCATTTTGACATAATTTTGTGTGTATTCGACGACTCAAGTCCAATAAGACGTGAAAAAGAACTGAATTGGCAATCGCATGCTGAGTGACGCGGCTTTCTGTGCACATGATTACGCTGTGTGTCAGTGCGTGCATCGCATTGACTTCTTTTTCACAGCTTATTGCCCTTAATAAGTCTTTATAACATTAAGGATGTCCTAGATTTATGCATTGCATCACTCTAAAGTGTCAATAGTGCTGTGCTACACTTATATATTTACATACCACGATATACTCTATATAGAAAAATCTCTAATGATATACCATCGCCCCGATAGCATTATATCACCCAGCCCTTAGTTTTTCACCACAAATTCCACTGTTAAACACAATTATTTTAAAAATAAGTTGAAATAATTCAGGCTGAAGCTTCAAGAGAAGCAATTATCATCAATTAACAAACCTCGGAAGCTCACAGTAGGGCTGTAATTTATAGTAGGTTTATAAGTTATCATTAAAAATCAATTTTCCTATGGAGAAAATGTATGTTTCTACTTCCGGAACCCAACTGTTGCACTCTATTGCCCTGTCCCAAATGATGGCCCATCTATTATAATAGAAAAGGGGGAACTTTTTGTGCTCTCAGTATTTGTGCTTGGCAGTCTTCTGTCATAATATCGTAATTTGGTATGTTGCGAGTCAATACAATAGATCTGAGCAAAGCTTTAGTGTGAATGTTGTCATCAAGTCAGTGATCATCTAATAAACACCAATTTCATGGGTTCAATATCCAGGGAACACGTACGTTTGGATAAAACCATCTGTCATAAAACTGCTTAACTGTAAATGTACACCTCTGTTCAAAAGTTTGGGGTTGGTAAGATTGCTGATTTGCTGCCCAAGAAACATTTGTATTATTATCAGTGTCGAAAACAGTGGTTTTGCTTAATATTTTCGTGGAAACGCGAATATTTATTCTTTCCAGAATTCTTTGATCAATAAAGTTCAAAAGAACAGCAGTTATTTGAAATATAAATCTTTTGCAACATTATAAATGTTACTTTCACTTTTGATTAATTTAATGCGTCATTGCTGAAGATTTAATCATTTTAAAAAAATCTCACTGACCCCAAATCTCTATATTTTATTTCTCTTCACATACTATTTGTACATTTGTACAACAGTCTGGTCAAAAGTTCAAAGTTGTTATCTGAACACAGAACATCTGACTGGAGTGACTCATACAGAGAGCTTAATACAACTACAACTGAGGTAAAAACTCGAAAATTAGGCCCCAGCATAAATGGTTACTCTAGTTAATCAATTAAAACACTTTGGCATGTGGAACAAGGCAGTTTTTGGCAGGCACAGTGCTTTCGCTCTTGCCTGGACTTTTTTACCTCTGACTGAGCACGCAATCTCTTTTTTTCCTCACACACACACGCATTCATTGCATTCACACTTTCACAGGCAGAAACACAAACACATTACAGTTGCATTCACACCACTACACACACAGTTCTGCTTCCTCCAAAAGCAGGCCTAAATTACCCGTAGTTTTAAAACGTTGCATAAAGAGAAGGAAATTATTCCCCCATCATATTTTCCACTCTTGAAAATGTTATTTTAATTGTGCTGGTGGAGTGGACCACTCTGTTGTTTTCACACGAGTGTAAAAAATAATGACAGCTGTCCAGTGAGTGGGGCCTTGGCATGAGCTTAGACCACTATGGGTATGCAGTAGACTCTCTCTCTCTCACACACACACACACACACACCTCATCAAGGCACATACACAGTGTCTAAGCAGCAAGAAAAAGTTCTTTTTGTGGTCCATCAATCTATAATATTTTTATTTTCCAACACTGACTTGTTTCATATTAGACCTTATATATGGCTTGTAATGGCAAATCTTATTTTGAAGGTACACTATGTAACTTTTGGCCCTCTAATGGCTAAAAAGCAAAAATCGCATGCATTGTTTTGGTTGTGCTTCAGCTCTGAGTGATTGTGCAGCGGAATATGGTTACTGCTCATAAACATTCACTGCTAGGCTTAAGAGATATAACCAGTTTATATGGAAAGGATGTTAAGCTGACTAGCTGAAGGCGTTACTGTAGCTTTAGCCATTATGCGGTACTTCCTTGAAAATAAATTCCAGCACAGCAACAACCCGTAAAGAAATGACCCTTCACAATAAATAATGCTTAAAAATGAACTGTTAGAGGGCAACATATGGCAATTTATCTGTTCAATAAAATACCATACTCACCTGTTAAGTAGTAAGAACGCCATCTCCACGTCGCTTTTACATTTCAAATCCCTCAGTTCTTGCCATCTCTGAATAGCATATGTTGTTTCTCGTTTTATTTACGAGCTCTGTTTGGCTTTTTTTTTTTTTTTTTACGTGAGATTCCCCAGAGGTTCAAGTTTTAGCGGCTCCATGTCAACCTTTCTTGCTTGTTGTGACCAGAGGTGTAGTGGTAAAAAAAGAGGTGGGTAAACTATAAATTTTGGTGGACCACGACGTGGTCACCCGGTAATGTGGGCCACTGCCTGTGTATGTGTATCCTGATGACATTGCTAATAGGCAGGGCTCGACATTAAGCCTTTTCATACGCTTGTCCTTCTTCGAACAAGTAAATCTGTCATTCACGTGTCCGAGTAAAAAAGTTTCTCGTCCGGATTTTTTTGTGTGTGTGTGTTAATTTATTCTGAAACAATATTCTCATCAGTGTTCAATCAGCTTTGATATTTAAATCGGCATATTGTAATATCTGCACCTTTAAAGGGCATCCTCTCCCCCAATATTATGCTTCATCTTTCATTTTAAATTCCTAAATTTGATCAATAAATTCAATTATTTTGAATAATAAGACACAATAGGGCTGATCAAATTAAATCATTTACACTGAAAAATTACAATTGCATAAAATAATGTTATGAAATTGATTTGAATTTACAAATAAGAAGCATTGGAAAGAATGATCTACTTTTAAACATAACACGAAACCGCCAGTAGGTGGCGGCAGGCGGCCGTATTAATGAGTGAGTCATTGATTCATTCATTCAAACGATTTGTTCAAACGGCTGATTCATTCAAGAATCTTTGACTCAATCGATTCGTTCAAAATGCTGAATCATTCAGTAATGAAAACAGGTTGAGTGTTTCTGTGAGATGCGCCGTGCTTCTGCTGTGATTTTTGTTTGGAACTATTTTCGCTGCTGAAACAGAACAAAAACAGCCAATATTGCATCTAAAATGTAAGTGACTTAATTTTAACTGTTTATTGAACTGTTGTAGGAAATCAATGTCACATTTTCCATCGTGATGGTATTGTGACAACTAACCTATGTCACTCCCACACCATACTCACATCAACGTAGCCGGAACAACTTTTCTCTATTTACGCGATATTACTTATTTTTTACAGTGTATGGATATTACAAGACACACACGGGCGAGTGACGTATGTACAGATTTTCCCACAAAAATCATACCAACGACAGGTCTAAAATATAAACAAAACACCTACAATAGGCTTACCATAGTGAATCAGGGTACGACAAAAACACGTTTTGGAAGAAGGATTGATGTATTGACAAAATTTTGTTAATTTTGAACAAAAAAGTTACATAGTGTACATTTAGGCTTTTAAAAAGGATGAAAATGTAAAACAAAACAAAAAAAGGAAAGAAATCAGTAGCCAGCTGATATCTAAACCCCAAAGACCTAAAAAAAAATCAACAACTAGCACTTATGAGAAAAATAGTGACTACAGTAGTCAGTAGTAACCTGACTGCTAGTGTACTATGTAC